GCTGCTTTGGGATTCTCCACCATGAAGTGGTCTATCTGCATATAAAATATGATTTCCAGTCGGCTGCGTAAACTTCTTCTTGTCCCCAAGGGGAACGATGAGTCACTCTGTGTTAGTGCCTCCTGTCCAGAGCTACGAACCCACATGTCTCAAATGCTCCAACAGATCAAAGACAAGTTCCTCCAATGACTCATATGACAATAAAAGGAAACTGCCTGATTTGATAATAGCAGGAATTTAGGCTGGACTCACAAAGGTCCTTATGAGCTGTGTATGCCACAGAGCTTTATTCAGCTGCAGGGAGATAGGCAATGGTTATTGTGCTCTTCCAGTCTGCAGGGGAGTGAAATAAAGCAGAGTAGAAGGGATTTGCACAAGGCCACCATGTCAGTTAGGTATGAAACCTAACAGCTATGATTTCTTGATTTCTAGTCAAACACACTGTGCAAAGTGATCTCAAGAGGCAGAGAATCACTGCACCAGGTGCATTCCAAGCCTCATCCCACCTGCAGGGAAATCCTAACAGCGGAGGCTACAAACTCCACAAAAAAAAAAAAAAAGGTGGAAACTGGAAGCTGGTACCTCAAGTCTTTTGGAAATCAGGAACTGAATTTCCTTGGAGCCATGTCTGCCTAAGGACCAAGAGGTGCCCAAAGGACCTATTGTAGCAGTTCTACTAATACTGTCAGAGTAGCTACAGCAGATGTGGAATTGTTTATACATCTACGTTTTGTGTTTGCTTACTGGTGGTTTCCAGATATGAAGGTTTTTCTGTATGTTTGTTTGCATGGGGCTTTTTTATTTGGTTGTTTTTTTGAGGGGGATCTGGCCTTGATATTACTCTGGATTGTGAGATTCGTAGCACGAATTTGGTGCAGTCCTCTTGCCGATCTCTTAAACTGTAATTTTCATACAAGTTCACGAGTGTAATTCCTCCATTTTCTGCAACTTTTTCAAAAGGTCCAGCCTGGATTATCTCTCTATCTCTTTTATAGGACTGTATGTCAGACTGATCAACACTTTGACAAAGTGTTTTGAGTCCTCAGGTTACCCCTGTAGCCGTGGTTAGATATTTCAGGAGCAATTGCCTATCACATCTAAACCAATACCCCGTGCCAGGATCCCAGGAAAAGGTTTTGAGCAGTTTGGTTACCCAAACTGACTAACCATCATATTAGATGACCACTAGAAAGAAGGACTGGGTCAGCCCCATCTTAAATTGGTTTAGATGGCCACAGCATCACAACCATGGTGACCGTAAAGTGTAAGCAGAGACACTTCTCCCTTTCTTGCTTGCCTGATTCTGCCCTCCATGATGCCAGCACAAGTATTTGAGCAGTGGCACAGCAAGCTACATCAGGGGACTGATCTAGCTGAGAAAAACAATCCAGTGATGACAAAAAAACAAAGTATTTTTTCCAGCTCCTCAGGTACTCCACTGGCACAGGGAGAGAAGAGGACCCCTTCAGCCACTGATCGAAGTCTACATACAATGAGACTCCAAATCTCAAATGAAGTAGGCCTCTGAAAGTCTGGGACTGCAGCAGCAGCCCGGTGCCATGAAGCCTTACCGGAGGAGTTGGTAGGCTTTTTTTGGCTTTATTGAGCAGTCATTTACTCCTCTGAATAAAGGACAACAAATCAAGAAAACTAGCACATCCTGAGGCATTAATAGGAGGTTCACTGACACACACTAATGGTCAACTGCCTTCTCACATGTCAAATTCACAGGAGCCAAATTCATGCAGGAGCCAAAGCACAGAATGTGTTTTGGAATCAGAAAAATTTGCTTCTCCCAATGATATCCCAGTTCATAACTATGCGCTTTACGTCTCGTAACTCCATGGTTACCAGAAAGATTTACTCCTGACTTAAAACTGTACTGGAGGGGAGACCATGGTCAGTAAAAATCACAGTTTAGGATCTAGTGACTCCCGTGGGCAATCTAACTTTTGGAGAACAAGGAGCATAGAAGTATATATATTTACACCACATTTCCTAGGGCTTGGATCTCACCTGAGCAGCAATATATATACATATCCATATACACACACAGTACTTTTGCTAAGATCATTAGTTTGCTCTCCAGTGTCTCACAGCAGCTGAGGCTCATTCTGGCCTCAGACCTGACAAAAAAGGCAGACTTACGGATGCTGCTTTCAGGGCCACAGAAAAAAAGATGAGCATGTTGAAGGAAATGCAAGGGCTCCCATACACAGAGAGTGCTTTCCCCTCTCATTTTGCAGGGCCTCTAACGACCTCGCAGAGCTGTAATCAAGAAATTAATTTCACACTTGATGATCTGGTTCTGCACAGCTCCACTCACTCTTCACACCTGCATTGCAAATAAAAATGCTTAAACAGCATTTTATTTGCCTGATGTTTTTCCTCTTTTGAGCTTAAACAAGAATTTAGCATGATTTATGGAGAGCAGCTGCATTTCACAGAAAAGCATTAAATACATAGAACTGCTTATGTGCAGAGGAGCCCTGTGACTTACTTTTAGAGGTCTGCAGGGCTTACAATACAGAAGGAAGTTATAATCACTTTGGAGAAGACTCCTGATGAGAAGAGGAACAGACCACAGTGTGATGAAATAGGGGCAGCTCCCCATAGGGAAAAGCAAGACTGTAGACAGCTTTGGAAGAAAAATAAGAGATTTGTGTTTGATGTGGAAAGACAAGGGAAGAAAATAGACTGCTCTTACTCCAGTCTAGCAGACAACTTAAACATAGGTTTAGCACACAAGGAGGCCAAAAATTCTGCTTGGTGGGCTGAAACTTTGCTAGAACAGATCCTCCACTAGGACTTCACTGCAGAAGCCACCTCTGTCCCTGAATAGCAGAGAAACTGACCCTGAACACTTAAAGAAGGGTTTCCCTACTTAAACAAATCTGTCTGCAAAGCTGTGCTACACTTTACCTTTCACCTCCCTTAGAGTCGATGGAAAACAGTCAAGAGATGTTGCTTCTCACTCAAAAGACAGACCTAAAGCAGCTCAGGTGAACTATGCCCTAATATTTCCTCTTCTCTCCCCTGATCAAGTGAGCCTGGGGCAAATCTCCTCCACCACCTGCAAGTGTCTAATCACAGGAATCTCACCACCACCACTACCACCACCACCTGGGTGGCTCCCAGCAGGCATTTTATCCAGTGCCTAGATTTTTATTCCTGCAATGTTCCTGGTCTGTGATAGTTTTTGCTGTTTTAGCTGGCAGTCCCACCCACCCAGTAAGTGCAGAGTGAACCTGCAGCTGCAACAAGCAGAGAGAGGGAAGTGTTTGGTGTATGCAGCCAGCACTCGATCCCTTCCAAAGTGGCTTTTGTCACATATTTGCCTGCCTGATTTCACAGTTGGCACAGGTGAAGTGTCAGTTTGCAACAGGGTACTAGGACAGAGAGAGATTGATTTTTGAGCCCCAACACAAGCCTCAACTCTTGCACTACCTCACCTTGTAAAAGGCCAACCCAGGCCAAGGCAAAGAGTTGGGACTGGCAGTGGGGTAGGAGCATGGGGGAGAGGTAGGTAACAGCACAAGCCTGATACTGCCTCAGCAGTGAAGCTGGGGACAGACATTGCAGGAGTCTGACACCATACATCCCATAACACATTTTGTGAGCAGCAAGTGACAAATGTAGGGCAGGGGAGGTGGCCTGCAGCCCCCCCTCTCTCCAAGCTGATCCTGTGCCATGGGATGTTGGGGTATGGCAGCTGAGCTGGGCTTAGCTGCCTCCTGGGATTTAGTGTCGATGTGGCAGCATGGGCAGATATTAGCAGGGACGAGGATTTTGTCTTTTGGCAGATGCCAGAAGAACTAGAGCGGCTCAAGGAAGAAAAGTGATGAGCAGTTCCTTTCCCTCCCCCCCATTTCTTCAACGGGAAAATGAAGTCTTAGCACTTGAAAATGGAAATTTTGATTTCTAGACGCATGTAAGAAATTGGAGGCAGAGGAAATGATGATTAAAAAGCCAGTCTGTATCATTAACGTGCATGTTCTTTATGCAGAGATGATCTGTGCCCGTGGCATTAAGATACACGTTTCCCATTGTAGAGGGCCCATGACCATCAGGGAGTCAACAACATTCTTATCAGCAACAGACGGTACAGTTTAGAGAAAATCCTTTCCAGTAATGACCGACTTAGCCGTAGTCCAGCTGAAAGCGCGGTAAGCACAAAATTCACACCCAGAGCAAGGCTTTCCATTATTCATGGTTCCATATTCTCTGGAGCTCCGCAAACCCGACTGGTTTGTTTTGTAATCTCCCACAACCCTGAAAATCTCCAGAGCTGAATGAAGCCAAGGTCGCCGTGACCTTCCTCCTCCCCTTCCCAGAGGCTACACAGCACCACGCCATCCCCTTTCCTTTAGTCTGAAACCCCGGGGCTCCACTCGGGTGACTATCCGGAGCCGCTGGACCCCGGTTGCCACCAGGCACGCCTCCTCATACAGGGGTTCACCTGCCATCTAGTGGGGTTTCCCCATCCCTGCGGCTGCCTCCGCCTGCATCCCGATCCCGGGCGGACAGGGGGCACCGCTCGGGGAGGTGTGAGCTCCGGGTAAGCAGCGTACGGAGGGGGGTGTGTGGGGGTGCGTGTGGGTGTGTGGGTGTGTGTGTATGCACCGGGGGTGTGCAGCGGAAGGAGGTTGTGTCTTTCGGTGGGGGGTGTGGTGGTACACGGAGGGGTGTGCACCGACCGGGGGGAGGGCACACTTCAAGGGGTGGGGGGCGCGGTGGAGGCGCGTTCCCGGAGGCTGTACCCGGCGGTGCGTGTGTACCCGGGGGTTTGTGCACGGACGGAAGGGCGGCCCGGGGAGGGGCCGTGCACGGAGCGGGGTGCGGGCACCGATCCGTGCGCGCGTGCGGCTGTTCCCTGTGGGAGGGGAAGCGGCATCCCGCCGGGTGCCGGCCGGGGCGGGCGGCTGCGCGGTGCCGGGGGCGGCCCCTCCGGGCGGGGCGGGCACAGCGGAGCGGAGAGGAGCAGAGCGGAGCGCCGCCTCCCCGGGGCGGGCCGGGCCGAGCCGAGCCAGGGCGCTCGCTCGGGCCTTGCGTGCTCAGGCCTGGCCGCGCCGGGAGAAGGGCCCATGGAGGCGGGGAGCGGCAGCGGAGCGGCGGCGGGGGGCGGCATCGCCCTGCACGACTTCAGCGGGCAGCTGGGAGAGCAGCGGGTGCACTTCCACGCCATGCGGCTGCGGGACTCGCTCTTCCTCTGGGTGGGCGCCGCGCCCGCCCTCGCCAGCCTGGCCGTGGCCATGTGCAGCCCCCGTGTGAGTGTCGCCGCCAGGGTCCCGGCTGCTCCCCCCCGGAGCCCTGCGGCCGTGGGGGGTGGCCCCGGCGCTCCCGACCCGCGCTGCCGGGACTAAGTCGTGCCCTCTGCTCTGCTCCGCTTGCAGGACAGCATCCCGGTGGCCGCCTCGCTCCTCGGGGACCCTTCCGACACCGCCTCCTCCTGCCTGGCGCAGCGCTTGGGTAGGTGCGGGGGCGGGGGCTGCGCGCCCCAGGCGGGGCGGGCGGAGGGGCCGCCTCCCGCTGGGAACACGTGGGTCGGGCCCGGGCGGGGCCGAATCTGGTGGCCCTGGGCCACCAGCCAGGGCTGGGTGGGCGCAGAGGGATGCGGTGGGTGCTGCCCCTGTCGCAGAGCCTCTACCGCTGCAGGTTGCGGCAGTTTCCATCCAGTCCACAGATTCACTTTTTTATTTTTATCATCCCTGTACGAGTCTGCGGCACCTGAGTCAGCGGCCTTGGGCACACTGTGCGCTGTCAAAAGCGAATTATTTAATATCCTTACCCTGGCTTTGGGTGCGAGGCAGGGGCAGGGTTTCCAGTGACCTCTTCACTATAAACTCTGTTTAAGGCTTGGAGAATTGGGATTGTTCACCCTGGAAAAGAGAAGACTTCAGGGTGACCTAACTGCAGCCTTCCAGTGCCTGAAGGGAACTTACAGGAAAATGGGGCAAGACTATGTACAAGAGCATATAGTGACAGGACACAGAGGAATGGGTTCAAATTGAAAGAGAGTAGGTTTAGACTAGGTATTAGGAAAAATTCTTTACTGTGAGAGTGGTGAGGCACTGGAACAGGGAAGTTGTGGGTGGCCTATCCGTGCAAGTGTTCTAGGCCAGGTTGGATGGGGCTCTGAGCAACCTGGTCTAGTGAAAGATGTCCCTGCCCATGGCAAGGCGCTTGGAACTAGATGATCTTCATGGTCCCCTTCCAACCCAAATAATTTGATGATGATGATAAACCCATGACACTGGTGTGCTGTGGGTGAGGTGGCCATCATACAAGGCACATGCACTTTCCCTGAAGATAAAGCCAAACCGTATCCGATCTTGCACCTTTTAGCCCCCACATGCTGAGAAGTTCTGGCCTGGGAAGTCCAGGGTCATCTCACAGGTGCCCATGCTTAATCTGACTGATCCTAATGAGCACTGCTCAGGATGTCTCCTTTTCCATCATGTTTCCAATGCCTGAGTCTTAGTGATAACTTTCAAACTCCTGTTACTGTACTAAAAAATATAAAAATACATGGCCTTATGCATCCTAGCTCCTTCACAGCTCTGACAGCTGCATCCTGGTGGTTACTCATTGCCTACCAGTAGCTGATGCAGCTCCAGCTGGTGAACTGCTGATGTACTTGTTACCAGGTTTTAAAAGCAACATGCTGAGCTGCACAACCTTACCTTATTTCTAATGTTTCAGTTGGAAAGGCCACAGAATTATTAATGATTTGTGTGCTGATTTCCATTTCAGGTAGTGTTTCCAGAGTTTGTATCATCAGGCACTTCCATGAGTCTCCACCTTCTTCTCCTCTATGGCCACTAATGCACATATAAAAAAAGATTGCTCACAAGATCTTTGAAAAACCGTACTAGTGTGTTTTCTTCTTTCCAATACCTTCTCTTTTAATAAATACTGTTTTAGTCTACCCTGCTGGCACCATTTTCTCTACGCACTGGGTTCAATCAATTCTACTTCAAGTAATAATTTTATGGGGTATGGTATAACATGATTTATTTCTATGTAATTAGTGCCTTATCCTTAAGAAGTCAGTTAGTAAAAATGTAGTCAGAGAAGATTTACTTTGGATAAAGTGTAATAGTTTATTCTACTTTCCATTTGATCTCTTTGTCACTAATGCTCCAGCAGGTGCTGGAGCAGGTCCAGAGAAGAGCAACAAGGCTGGTGAAGGGACTTGAACACAAGGCCTATGAGGAGAGGCTGAGAGAGCTGGGGTTGTTTAGCCTGGAAAAGAGGAGGCTCAGGGGAAACATCATCAATCTCTACAACTACCTGAAAGGAGGTTGTAGCCACATGAGGGTTGGTCTCTTCTCCCAGGCAGCTATCAGTAAGACAAGAGGGCATGGTCTTAAGCTCTGCCAGGGGAGGTTTAGGTTGGATATTAGGAAGAAATTCTTTACAGAGAGGGTAATCAGGGATTGGAATGGGCTGCCCAGGGAGTGGTGGATTCTCTGTCCCTGGAGGTTTTTAAGATGAGACTGGATGTGGCACTGAGTGCCATGGTCTAGTAACCATGGCAGTAGTGGATCAAGGGTTGGACTTGATGATCTTGGAGGTCTTTTCTAACCCGGCTTATTCTGTGATTCTGTGAATTTCTTCTGATCTTGCTCTAAATTTCTGTGTAGCATTGGAGCCCAGCTGACAGTTCTAAGTTGTCTCTGTGATTCCCACTCTCTCCTGTCTTTTTTTTTGTATGTGTGGTTGCTCTCTTCACTCTTAAAAGATTTATTACAGATTTCACAGCTAAAGTTTGTAATAACTTGCCATTTCTTACATTAGTTCTTTCAGTGTTCTAGGACAGAGGCTGAGTAACCTGATTTTTTGCCCAGTGAGTAGTTTCTGTTTTGCTGCCTTTTTTCCCTTATTTTTTTAACCTTTTTTTTTTTTTTTTCCCTAAGGTGCTTTTATTATTTCGATTGCTAATTTCCCATACTTTGTTACTGAGAACCGATACTTTTGCTTGGTACTGGGCTATAGGTTACTATTTATCCTTGGAGTGTAAGGCACCTTCCTATTTTCTTTTTTTTGTGTGCCTTAAGTGTCTTTTGTTATTTCATCTTAAACTTCCTGTACCAGCTGTGGCCCAGCTAGGCTTTTGATCAATGTTCCTCTCTATCTATGCCATTTATCTGTTGGGTTGCAGATTTCCTTACAGATACTGTTCTTGCTTGTGTGATCCTGCTTAAGGTATGCTGTATTGAGGAAGGCCTGTAGACCTTTTTCATCCTTGGTTCGAAGGGGAAAGTCAATAATACACTTCTTGCTTTGAATAATCATATGTTTCCTTTTTTACCTGAGTGTCACTGGCTTCTGAAAAAAGAAATACATCTTTCTGAAGTCCTACATCTCAGTATTTTGGCTGGCTTTTGTCAGTCCAGCAATTTAAGTGAACTCATGGGCATTTAGTCCAAAACTATTATTTATTCTCCTGAAACCAGTGGATCAACAAGCATCCCTGCTGTATCTTTGTTTCACGAAGTGCTTGGTAAGAAAATTTGTTTTTCACCTCGGCTAAAAATAGCAAGCTTTGCTGTCACTGGTGTTGTTTTTATCTGGGAGATTAAACCCTTGTTTCTTCCACAAATTCTGTAATAACAGAGATGATATTCACGGTCAAGTCTGACTTGTAGCTGTACTTCCAAGGTAGTTTTTTAACCATCCTGCCATGTGGTAATCTTCAGGTAGGCAGTATCCCTCTCCTCCTAACCCTACCCCCCGCCCCCCATGCTTGTCACCATTTTTTCTATGTAGTTTCCATTCTGGTCTTCTTCACAGGCTCTCAGTGAAGCAGCATTCAATGCTATTTGCACATAACTATTTTCATTTCTTATACTTGCCAGTTGCATTCCATCATCTACTGCGTGTTCCTGCAATGTCAGGTTTCCTTCCCTGGAGCAGGAGTTTCAGTGCAGCTATGCATCAGTGTACACATTCTCCTTTTTGTTTTCTTTATAGCCTGGTAGGGGTCCTAGCCACAACAGCTGCATTTGGTGTATTGGCTCTATCTTCTTCCTTATTTCTGATTTTTGTTTTAAAATTTTCTATTGCTAAAGACACACATGCCTCATTCCTATTTCTCTTTCTACATATTTTTATCTGTATCTGCTTCTATGAGGTGCAGGGACTGTTTCTCACCATCCTGCCCAATTGCTTTGGCACCAGATGTGTCTCACTAGTCAAGAAACCCAAATCCTAAAAGATTGTTTCCTGTAGGTTAGTGGTGGCCAATTCTTAAGGACGACTTGTCCATTGGTGCCTCCCTTACCTGCATACCCTGAAATCACAGTGCTTTGGGCTGAAGTGGCTACTGATTAGTGCCATATCTTCATCTTCCCTCTGTAGGGACTGGCAGGCTCTTGGTGAAGATCACCTCAACTCTCTGAGTATTCATCATCCAGGCATAGTTCCCTTCCATCACCTCTTTTCCAGCACAGTCTACAAACTTATGGCCAACACTTGTCCTGTCTGTTCTGCTCCCACTGAGCTTCTCTTCAAGCTTAGATTTGGGCCTTTGCCCTGTACATGGGGTTGTAGGAGTGGGTCTATGCTGCCACAGTTTCTCCTGGCACTCAGTGTGTCCCAGACAATGGCTGCTGAGGAATTTTTTCCTTCCCTTTGAAGAGCTGGTGCAACAGGGGTTATTAACCAGGGTGCATGGGAAGCAGACCTACTGGAGGGCTTTTTAGGTAAGCCTTGTCCTTTACAGTTTTTGGCTTTACTCTGAGGTTGCAGATGGGCTTCCATGGAGCCATAAGATCTTTCCTCTTCTATCCTTCCCACGAGAGTACACGTGTCCAACCTAATCCACACGAAGCAGGGACAGAAAAGGTCCTGCTGCCCCTCAGAGCCAGTGGTAGGAGCAGAGGTCCTTGGCAGAGGTGACCCTAAGGGATTCACAGTGTTCCCAGGATCTGGAACAGCATCCCAGAGACGCTATTGGACCTTAGGCAAACATAATTAAGAAGTTGAGTTTTGACACTGCAGTGTACTATATCGTTTTGTTAGGTAGGATAATGGTATTAATTAGTTCAGAATTAGCATTGCATTCATTTAGGTCATGATGATGAAGCACTAGCACTTACAGAACATGCTGCTTTATACCACAGAAATCTAGTGCCAGGTGGTAATTTTTGCAATCAGAGCAACACACTGCATTATATCAGCATTTTGTAGTGCCAAGTCTTAAAAGGCAAACTAGTCCTTGCATTTCAGAAGCAGCTCTACTTTCTGAGACAGGAAGCTGGTAACCTGTTAGAATAGAAAAATAATAATAAATTGATTTGCATAATGAAAATGCCTCAAAGGAATTGTTTAACTACATTTTATACACACACATATATATCTATCTTTTCTGTAGTTAACTTTCCTATTTAGAAAGGATCAAGATATTAGGAGTCCTGGTGTTTCCATTTTCAAGTTTAAAAAATTCAGATTATGTTTTTGAATATTCAGGCAGAACAGTCTGATTTGTCTCTAGGATCATCAGCTCCCAGCTCATTCCCTGAAAAGAATATCTCATGACCCAAATACTGGTTTTTGTCTTCTATTTTACACAACTAATTTAAATTTAGTGCCTGTTTTTCCCGTATGGTGCTTAAACTTTCACAAAGTTTAGCTTTAGTAATATAAGAACAGAGTCAAAAATTTGCTATATTACTGTGGTAAAATCTAAGTAGGAGTCCATTTTTTTTATAAAACACTTCTTGGTGTTCTCTCTTCTATTTTGATAACTAAGTCTTCCTGCCCCAGTGGATAGTTTTGCTTTTTTTTTTTTTTTTTTTTTTTTTTTTTTTTTTTTTGTTGTTGTTGTTGTTAATTAGCTCTTTCATGGAAAGCAGCTCTTAATTTTGTAGCACTTCTCTCCAAGTACTTGTCATTACAGTAGCCTGGAACTTCGTGTTTGGCTGCATGACACTCAACTGAGGCTGTTCAGTCTCTTGGAGTGATCATGGACACTGTATGAACAAAGGCTAAAGGAAACAAAATTATTGACAGCAGGCTTAGACATACTATTTGGGGCCTTTTAAGGGGTTCATAATAAAACAGAACTTGGTTAATTGGGGCTCAGTCACTTTTTTGTGCACTTTCCCTCAATGTTTTACACAGCATAGACTTACCAACTCACAAACTTTATTTCAGTGCTGACTCCAGTACAGTCTGTAATTTCACTTAAAATAGTATTATTTAAGAAGTGTCCAGAAAATCCACTAAAAGCACTGCAAGGCTTTCCAGTGACTAATGGCTTTTTGCACCAGGCCAAAAACTAGTTGAAAGTCACCAGTTTTATACTGCTTACATCAGTGCTGTGCAAAATTATGCCCAACACGCCAGTGGTCAGGTAATTGTACTGCTGTTCCTTAATAACTGCAGCCAGCACAGCAGGAGTGGAGAACATCATCTTAGAAATCTGCACGATATGGCTTTTTAAGAGGCTTTCTTGAATACTATCATCACTTCTATATAAGAACAAAATATGGCTGACTACTCTGTTTTGTATTTTAGCCAGCAAGACCAAAAAACAGATATTTGTCAGCTACAATCTTCAAAACACAGACAGCAATTTCACCTTACTCATAGAAAACAGGATCAAAGAAGAAATGACAGCTTTTCCAGAGAAGTTCTGACTTTGCATCATTGTAAAATAAGATGAATTGTTTCAGAAAAACTGATGGAAATTTTCACACTGACATTAAATTAGTATATTTGTTTTGTATTATTTTGATTGCATTTGTGGTTGTTATTAAATATAGATGGACATAGATACAACTGGACCTGGAATTTATTTTTTTGCAAATAAAATTTGAATTTGAAATTTCAAAGCAAAATTTTTTTTGCTACCCTGCTAAGTAGGATAGCAAATGGATGCTACAATTGATGAACATCATTGTAAAAATGCATGCAGTGTCTGGCTTCCATGCAGTACTGGGATCTGCTGGGTAATCAGTTCCAAATTATATCTGTACAGTTAATCTACTGTGTACTAGCACTGAACACAGCATAGCAGCTTTTAGTGTTCAAATAAAGAAACCCCACATTTTTTATTGTAAAGCTGTGACATGAGTGTTACTTTTCTCCTTTTAGCCCCTTTTGGTTGTAGTACTAGTGCTAAATAGTGGATTTCCTTCTGTCCCTTGGGCATTAAGAACACTAGAAGGGTTTCACAAAGTGTTATCTGTACATCCCTGAGGACTACGTAGAAGGAAAAAGCAGAGCTTGAATTCTAGAGCAATAGATAAATGTGTCAGGCTGCTAGAAGAGCATACCATGTGTAAATTCAGCATATACATTAGAAAAATCAGAGCAGTCCACTACCATGACCACCACTGCAAAGTATACTGCTGCTGTTTTGTTTAATGAGAGGGCAGCTAGGAGTTAACGATCCAGGTTATTTTTTTTTTCCATTGCAAGTTGAGCCCTGACTCAAACATAAGCTTTTGATACAAACAAAATTTACTAGTGCTGCTTCTAGACAACTGTCTTAACCCCCTGCAGAAAACTGATGAATTTACCTTGCTGTGGTGCCATAATCAGCAATTAAAAACTGTAACCAAGAGGTCACTGATGTAGGAGGCACAACTGCTACTGAGTCTCTTGTCCAAAAGGGTTTGAACAGCCAGTGGCTTCAACATGTATTTGATGTGGGTGCAGAAAGCTCCTCCTCACCTGGTGGGAACAGCTGTCAGTCTTTGGCGGCAGTTCAGGATCAGAATCGCAAAAAGCAACTGTTGGAGGGTATTTTTAATTTACACCACTCAGGAAACAGTCAGCCACTCTTCTGTAATGGACTATGTTGATAATTAGTTGTAAATCAGTTTGCTGGTTTAATTAGTCTGATTTACAAACAGCTCATTCTGTTTGTAAAGGAGGGTAGGACTGTTTGCTGAGGCATCAGCTGCTGCTGGGTGTTTCAGAAGTCACTGTGAGGGAGCCAGACCAAGGAGAGCAAACTGATGGGACAATGTCATTTTATTCTGTACATTTACATACAAAGTTCTTCTCAGTAGGTACAACAGATGTAACATCATGCAGACATTTAGCTTGTAAGACTGTTTTCAGTACTTGATTTAAGCTTGTGCTATGAGGAAGCACCACCAGACTATTCATGGTCAGAACATACAGTAACACGATTCTTTAAAACTTCATTAGAAACTGAAATGGGGAGGGAGATCTCACCCACTAGACAAAACACACCGTACTCCTTTCCTGAAACATTTTACACAATACATTTAAAATGAGGTTTGTAATTTTTTTTCTTACAAAATAAAATAATTTAAAAAAAGTTACAGTGAGGGAGATCATCCCCCCACTTAATAGTGTTGTCTTATGTGCCAGCTACAGGCGCAACTTGACTTGACATTCACAGAGTTCAGTTAATGGCACTTCTGCTTCCAATTTGGTGACCAATAAAGTGTTTGGCTCCAGGAAGTGGCAACAGTTAAGTAAAATACTTCCATTAAAAAGAACAACAACAAAAAAAGCCTGCTCAATGAAACCAAAAAGTAAATCACACAACCCCCTTTCAGAGTGGCCACAGAACACTTGCAAACAGGCGACTGTTGTTATCCATTTGCAGTGTGTCTGGCAACAAAAGCAGTACTGAAACCTTAAAAGGGGACAAACCCCCCAAGATCAAGCATAATGTCACTTCACATTTTTGTTTAAACTTACAAAGATGGAAGAAAGCCCTTAAATGGTAAACCCAAAGAAAAATCTACTGATGGGCTTAGAGGTTACTGAAGGTTCACAGAAAAAGGCCAAAATGGAGAAGACAGCTTGGACTGCTTCCCCTGTTGTGGTGGCCAGAAAGAGCCGCCTGAGAAAAGCCTGTCTTGGTGATGGCTGGAGGGGGGATGCAGCCAAGGAGCCAATGGAGCAGCTGGCTGGGACCCCAGCAAAGAGCCCTGTCCTGCTGCAGGACTAGGAAAGGCAGGGCAAGCATTCCATGCTTCCTTTCTGCCCTGCTGCATCACCCGGTACCCGACTCCTCCACAAAAGATATGTTTAGTGAAAGCCTTCCAACTCTGTGAGCATGTGTGGAAGAAAATAATCATCGCAGAAGTGTTCATGTTTTCAGGAAAAGGAGCAAAACTGGAGCTGCCATGGCAGGAAATTAGTTTTTGTTTTATTGTTGTGACAGAGGCAGAGGGCCAGACCAACTAGAGAAGCTAGGTCTCCCTTTGTTGCAGAAGATCAGTACCGACTACCTGGTTTCAAGCAAAAAACCAAAAAACCAGCAAATCAAATCAATTTCATAAGATTTTTTTTTAATAAATTGCTGCACATTCCTGTCACCTAGTTTTTTTACTATATAAATGTTGCTATGTTTAAACAATTATTCTTTTCCCTGTGCCTGTCTGTCCCTGGAGAGCAACCACCAGAATAGGAAACGATAAAGTGCTGTGGACAACAGCGCTGAGCACACCAGGACTGCTGACAGTGCTGGAAGCAGCCAGTTTTGTAAGGCTTGTGGATGGTCTACAAAAGCTGTACCACAGCTTGAGCATACAGGCACACAAGACCACAAACGAAGGAGCTGCTGGCTCCATGGCATGATGGATGGCAGCTGCTTTCCGCCTCTGTGCTCACACCTTCTCCGCATTCAAGCCCTTTTTCTCTTCCCTTAAGATTCGTTTTGCTTCTTCAATTTTTTGTTGTGAACCCATTTTTTCCTCCCTGATCATAGGTGGCTTGCAATAAGCATCTCGCATCAAAGGCAAAAGGTATTGCACAAATTTGGCACGTGAATACTGCATGAGTGGGGAAGGGCTGGGTTCCTGGGTGAACACAGACTGCAAAGGTCTCGGCACAGAACAAAAAGAAGCAGCCATACTCAAGTCTGACAATAAAACTTGAGTATAAGGAAGATTGGGCTCTTGCTGTCACAGCAAGTCTAGCAAAGGTGAAAAAAAACCCCAAGTAGTAGTGTACCTTTGGGCAAAACTACCATCAACTGGTCCAGTGTTTCTTACCAGGCTCAAGAAGAACCCAAATGTCCACATCCTCTGTAAAAATTAGCAGCTTTAGGACAACATTGTTATTCTGAACACAACCACCTCTGTCGCTTCTGCAGGTCTGCCTGTCCCCTTGCATTTGTCGGTGTCTGAGGCTGTGCTGCTTACTGCATTGCCCACTGGGAAGCACATATCTCTGATTTATTGGGGACTTTAAGAGGACATTGGCAGCCTAATGGAGGATGGAAATTGTTAGGTACAGTAGTTAATCGACAATATATACAGCAAAGGAGGAAGGGGAAGGGAAGGGAGAGGAGGAAAGTGCAAATGAGCACTTTCCATGCATATGAACGCAAGATGTACATCAAACAAAGTGGCAATCATACAGACACTCAATACAACATTGACATCCTGCTGCTCTGTTTGAACGTCTGCACTACCAAGCAATCACAAATGGATGGCCTGAGTGAGAAAGGAGAAGAGGGAGGGAGAGTGGGGAGGTTAACTACAATGCAAGAAAGCTGTTTACAGAGTCCTTGCACTGAACTAGGTCCTCACGATATTCTCTTGTGTGAGAACCAAAAGCCGATGGCCAAAGGAAATAGTTCATTTGGGGGCTGGAGAAGTCAAGTGGCCACCATCAAAGTGCCATCTGCACAGTAAGAGGTAAACTGGATGTTCACTTTGTGTAGTACTGATCTAATTTAAGTAAACTTTTTTCATGATCTAAAATCTTATAAGAGCAGTTGGGGAAGGAGGAAATCTGGGTGAGTTCACTGTATATTCTTGGGTCAGAACCTGAAAACATCTCTAAGGGCCCAAGACAGCTCAGTAAGACATTATTCACAGCCTATCAATTAATTCATTTCCAACAGTCATTTAAGCAGTTTGTCCACTTAAATTGAAAACCCAAACCCTGGTTCTAAAAACAGGTAACACAATGCCAGGACGCTCATTTCCCAGGAGCAGAAATCCTAGCTGTGCTGCCTTTTGGAATAAAAGTATAGATGGTAGCCCATGCTCCTTACTGTTTATCCCTGCTGGTTCATGCTCTTCTCCTGGAGAAGTCAGAAATCCTGGGCCTCCTGATAATTAAAGCCATTCTCAGCAAAACTAATTTTTGCATCATTAGTCAAATTATTTGCATCATCTATGTTACTACTAAAGACCACTGGGAACCACCTAAAATAGACTAATATACTCTTAAAATGCAGCAAACTGATTCACATTGAAAAATCAGCTTGTTTGGGTAGGATTTTCTTCAATGCATTTGGTGAAAAAAAAAAAAGGACTAATTTAGAAAGTAACTTTTAAGTGCACATGGGCTATAAAGACAAACATAAGCTGCCTAAAACGCAGTCAGAGTTTGAGTCACAACAGGTTTTGCTTTGTTTTTGTCTTCCTTTTTTTTTTTGTGTATACAAACACAGCAGGCAACTTGGGCACTTGGACTTTCTAGACAGGCAGAAGAATGTTGCACAAGTCTAAATTTAAGTCAATTCAACTTTGTGGTTGATCCCTCTTTCCTTTAAAGAAACACGAAAACAAAACAGAAAACAACACTCCCCTCCCCCCATGGTTTCTTTCTTGGAATGGCTGCACCTCTTATAATAAGATGGCTTCATTTTTGTGATCTATGAAAGGAAAAGGAAATAAAGTGCTTCTTGAGAATAAATCAAAATAAATATACATATTTAATGGCAGGAAAAAAGAGTTCTGAACGGCTACTGCCAGCCAGGTCTTTTTTCAAATGAGTCTTTTCCCCCAAAACTTTTTCAAGAGCAATCTGCACAACAGTTGAAGATGCCAAAATTTGCTTTAGTAGCAGAGTTGAATTCCTCCAAGTTAGTGTCTGCTCCATCACTGGT